GAACACTTCTCAGGCTGGGGAGGGGAACAGATTACCATCCCGATAGGGCTTTTTGTCTGCCTGGCTCCCATTGCTGCAAGGCAAAACAGGAGAAGCAGCAGGGAAACCTTTTGCGTGCGAGGCGAAGGAGGGGGGAGGAGGAGGCAGAGCGCCGGTGAGGTGATGTGCGCGCAGCTGCATGAGGAGGCTTAAAAATTCAGAAAATCAGTTGTGACTTGAGCTGTGTGGATTTGGTGCAGAACTTGCTTTCGTAACATTTTATCGACGCATTGAGTTCAAAAAGTAGTAAATAATACCAAAGTGCTTCTTACTTGATGTGTCCTTGGTAAATCCCAGACTTTTTTTAAAGGCTGGGAAGGAAAACAGAAGACGTGTAGTTGCAGGAATTAACTTAAAAGAGAGTGGTCAAAGGGTTGAAATACAGAAAACAACATACACGGACTATCTCTATGTAACTCCTCTATTTCTCACCTACATGTTCCTTGGTTTACCTGAGCTGTCCCTAGCATCTGTAGGACCCCTTTTTCGTTTTAAGTTACCGTTTGAGTTGTGCTAAAGGACAGTGTGGAAATGCTGATCTGGTATTTCAGAGGGCTCGCGGCGCTGAATCGCCTCGCAGAGCTCATTGTTGAGCGCGGTCGCTGCTGAGGCCATGTGTGCTATGAAGGGTCTGGGGGGTTTCTCCTTGTGGTTTGTTCTGTAGTACTAGCAGTAAAGTCAGCTCTGACTCTCTGTCTTGTGTAGTTAATTAGAGTTAAAATGGTGGAAAAAGAAAAGGATGCCTTGGAAGTGGACAAGAATAAAGCCATTGAATATCTTTGTTTGGAAAACAAACTGTTTAAAGAAAAGAATCATATCTGCCAATACTATATGTAAGTATTTGTAAAGTTTTGATTTGACCTTAACGCACTAGTGGTGGTGTTAAACTCTGCTTCCACACCTCTAACGAGGAATGTTTTGCATTTCTTGTCAGCTGTATCAGTCCTTCAAAAGGAGTTGAATAGCATATGGAAAAGAGAGACCATTTTCCTAAAAACATTAAAAAAAAAAAACCAAAACAAGAACAAAAAACCCCCCAAACCACCACCACGAAAAGAAACCAAAAACCTGCTTGCCGGCTTTTTACAAAGTAAAGCAGTCTGGCAAATAATCTCTTGCAGCTTTGTGCTTAAATTGAGAAAGTAGATCACTTAAAGACTTGTTTTCCTCTGAAGTATCGAAATTGTTAGATTTCCTTGCTGTTTTGTGTTAAATTGGCAAGGTTACTCAATAATGAATGTTGGGGTTTAATACTTTATGTAGTCGTTTGTTATGCTTAGGGTTGGGAATGTATATTTGTTATGAATGTTAGCTTTATGGCCAACAGCGGAGGCTTGGCATTTGTGTTTGGTTTGGGTTTGTTTTCTAGCCATGACCTAAAGAAACGAATAAATGATATGGAAATGCAGAAAGAAAAAATTAATGAAGAAACGAAAGGCGTTAATGAGAAGAGCAGTAAACTTGCAGATGAAATGAAAACCAAGAATAAAGCTGTGAAAGAAGTTGAAAAGTAAGTACTTGAGGTATGGACTCGTAAGTTAGGAGCGCCGAGTCTTACCTGTTCTGCATGTGTGGTGGTAGTTGGCAGGATTTTCAGAAAAATCCGTGGTAGTTGTATTGCGGGGCGGGGGGGAAGGTGTATTTCTGCACCTGAGAAAGCGGAAGCATACAATAGGTGCGTGGGAAGATGATCCAACAAAGGGTTTTTCAGTAGTTCTCCCACCAAAAACTTGAATTATGGGACGAGCAGAGGCACTGAGGGTATAGGTAACCATTCCCCGGCACGGATTAAATGATCCTTCGCACAAAAACAGATTTGAAGAAATTCTCATTGGTTTGATTTGGTTCTGCAGGTTGCTTCTCTTGGAGAAATTTGGGTAATACTCACAATTAAGAAAAGGTCTGATGACTTTTCAAGTACGTTCTTTTTCATATTGGCTACAAAAATTACTTGGGATGTTGTTTCAGGCTTTTGAATATACAACCGTAGCGCTTAGGTACATGGACGTCAGGTATTTTTCTCTGGTTTCCTTATGAATCTGTTATGCATGAATTGTGTTTCCCTAAAATTGATTTGTCTGGGTGCTAATCTCCAATCCAACTGCAATGTTAGCCTTCTCATCCTCTGGGATCATAGTAAGTTATTTGTGAGAGATCTGTGGTATAAATTCTATCCAAGAAGAAGGAACGTTTCAGAAAATTGCTTTGCTAGTTGATCTTTTTCTGATGAAACATCAGTTCCCTGGGGAAAATACTGTGAATATAGTAAACATTGGAAGTTGTTCTTCACAAAAATGGAGTTGTATTGGTTTAAATTCTATATGCTTACATATTAAGCTAAGCTCTAGTGACGTTATTTTTTATAGGGTACGGAATAGATTATTCTTCCTTTTTTTTCCCTTTAGGAAACTCAGTAAAGTTACAAAGTTCATAGAGGAAAATAAAGAAAAATTTACTCAGTTGGATTTGCGGGATGTTAAAGTAAGGGAAAGTCTCAAACATGCCAAAAGCAAGGCTAAAAAACTGGAGAAGCAACTTCAAAAGGACAAAGAGAAGGTAGTGTGGACTGCAGCTTGATTCACTTAAAGGAATGGAATTGGTTGCTCTAAATGAGAACATCTTTATGCAGCTGGGATGAAATAGCGAAGGCCACCAAGTGTACCTTGTGCAACAAAGAAGATGGAAAAATATGGTTTAAGTTCTTTTAATCAGATATTTTCTGTCATTTAAGTCAGCTAGGGATTTTGTTTGCAAATCGTTTTCTCCCTTAAACTGTGGCTCGTTGCACATCTCACTCTGGGAGACTGGCCAGCAGTACTAGGCTGTGTCCTGCCTAAAGGCAACGTCAAAAGCTTTTGGGTCGCTTCTTGGCTCTGTTGGGAGGTCTCATGGCTTGCAAAGCATCTTTTTATCCGTTTGTTGAGATTACAGGAATGTTGCCTGTGCTCACAATTGCCACCTTTTCGAAACGTTTTTTTTCCCTAGTTAATTGAGTTAATAGATATATTCTACCAAGTTGATTGTTGCGAGCTGTTACAGATGGTAAATGGCTGAGGATCACGAGTGGCCTTCTGAAAGTAGGTATTTGGGACTGAAGCCTTGTTGTGATGCAAGGACTTGAGCTCTTAGTGTAAAACTATGTTCCTTACTGCTCTGGGTGGGCTCTAGAACTGAACAAGCCTTGCAGATAAAATCCAGGCCACCTGCTAGGGCCGCAGCGTATCTTGTCCTGCAAAACCATGAGGAACAAAGCTGCCTTTGACTTCCACACAGCGCTGGAAAGGCAGGGTTTAAAGATAAGGCGAAAGAGTTCTGTTTCAGTGGCAGAGGGAGTTCAAAAGTCTTTTCCTTCCGTAGGTGGAAGAATTGAAAACTGTACCTTCCAATAGCAAAAAAGCGATCAGCGAAGCAACGTCTAAGAAAGAGCTTCTTGAAGAGACAAAAGAGAAAGAAGAAGAAAAGCTCAAGCAGGTTATGAGTAGCCTTAAGGAGGAAACACGAGGACTTCAGAAAGAGAAAGAGGTTTGAACTGTTTTGACCTAGCACACTTACACAGTGTTAACTGATGTATAGCTTTTACCCTTCGGAATGAAACGATCACAAGGTAGTTGTAAAATGCTGGTTTAGAAGACAAATACACTGGTTTAGATGAGAAATACGCTGGTTTAGATGAGAAATACGCTGTTTCATGTGTTAGGTCAGTGGAGCCTAACTGGGAAATTAATTTTGAATTTATAATCAGAGCTCAGTCGTTCTCATTAGGTTGTCTGCTTTGTATAGTGGTCATGTGCCATCAAGTATATCATTCATATTTGTATATTAAATAATTCTACACTTCCATTCTTGGAATGCACTTTAGTTTTCTCCCATCAAAATGTTTAACCCACTATGTTGCTTGAATAAACCAACAGATTTGGTTTGTTCTGAGCCCTTCACACAGCTGTACTCTGAGTAACTATGCTGTAACACTCGGGTATTGGTGTTGATGTTAGCTGTTCAGTCACTGAACACCTGGAGGCTGGAAATTTATCCTGCAAATTTAGGGGATTATTTTGGGATTTTCTTATGGTTTCTCCATTTGAGCTGTAATGTGGCACAATGTGTAGGGATCCTCCTAACTTTTAAGTTGAGAAAAGGATACAAAGCTTGTATGGAAATGTTCTATGGTCACTCCCTGACGTTCTTTCTAGTTATGAAAAACGCCTTGTTTCATTTCCATACAGAGTATGTTAATAGATCAAGAAATACTTGTTCTTCTAGGTACCGTAACTGTTTTCTGCTGGCAGGAGAGCTAGTGAAAGAAACATGCCTTCTCCTCTTATCCTTTCACACAGCGTGACTGATGAAATCAATCCCATGGTCATCTGGTTTTAGTTGTAACATTGTCCGTTTTTGCAGAGCAAAGAGAACGAGCTCATGGAGTTCAGTAAAGACGTGAATGAAGCCCGCTCGAAGATGGAGGTGGCCCAGTCAGAGCTGGAGATCTATCTCAGCCGACATAACGCTGCTGTGGCTCGGCTCAATCAGGCAAAGGAGGCTCTGATGAATACTTCAAAAACTCTGCAGGAAAGGAAAGCTGCTATCAAAGATATAGGTGTAAAATTACCCCAAGCTGAACAGGAATTGAAGGAGGTGAGACTTGACTTTCACCTATAATTTCTTTGAGTTGCACAACACAAAACAAAATTTCCCTCTTTAGCAATAGTTGTGGTGAAAATACACAAAAAACCGTCTCCAGTAAAACAACGTTTACAAATAACCGTCTCCAGTAAAACAACGTTTAAAAACTGTATTCTAATACTCGGTTAACGGATGAAGTATTTGATTTCAGACTTATTTTGAGTTACAAATTGAAATTAAACACTGAAATGAAATCCTGCAAGGGAATCAGTTTAAATACCATAATGAGACACGTTACAATGAATCAATGGCTGCGTTTCTGAGCCTTCTTTGAATTTCACCTCTTGCTCCTCTCTTGTTCCCCAAAGAAAAAAATCCCTCGACCTTGTCCTAAGCCCGATTCATGAATTCATAAGCTGCTGTATTTGTATCAAAGGGTACTAAAGATGAGCCAAAGCGTACCCAAATACCGGCCGTTCTTCTGGCACATGTTGGCTACTTCGGCTTGTTCGGTGGCTGGTGTCATTGCCCGCCCCATCATGGAGCCAAGACTCCCTGAACACAGCAGCTCTTGTGAGGCTAAGATGATGTCTGTCTTTGAACCCTTAGAAAGAGAAGCAGTTTGAGAAGCTGGGAAGAGAAGAATCAGGTGCTAAGAATCTCCTTCGAAATCTGCGTCAAAAAGTAGAAGAAGCCAAAAGTTCTTTAGCACTAAGTCGCAGTCGGGGAAAAGTGCTGGAGGCTCTGCTTCAGCAGAAGAGGTCTGGAAAGATTGGTGGAATATATGGAAGACTGGTAAGTTTTAAAAGGCTGTTACACTTTTAGTCTGAGACTTTACAGGAGCTGAGCGGTGTTCCCGTCGCTGACTTGAAAGGCAGAACTGCTCGCTTCTCTGGTGCTCTGAGTTTGGGCAGCAGAGTCGCAACGCTTTTTTGCTTCAAAACTTATCAAATTTGGTGATCTCTTCACCATTTGTTTCCTCTCACGTCGCTTGCGTACGTGTCGAATCAAACAGCAGTATCGTTGTGTGAGAAACGCTGAGGGTTATCAGCTCTCTGCAAGCGCTGTTGATTGAAAGTCCCGAAAAATCTGCAGCTGAGGTAGAGTTGTTCTTCGTGCCTTGTTTGTACTAGCACCGAACAACGCAGGCATCCCAGTGTAAACGTAACGGCGCTGCTTTTGGGTTCGGCGGTGCTCTCTTTTCTCCCCCACCCGCTCGTCCAAGGAGAAGTCTCTGTGCTTCAGAAAAATCCGTTTCTTTGGTGTATGTGCATTTTTAAACACGTGTGTGTAGGTCTCTTGGGAAAGGATAAAGTTCGACCAGCAGCAGGCCGCTGTCTGGTGCAGCTGGCACGGGTTTTCTCTCCTGCTCTGCTACCGTTTGCCCCAGAGAGTTGATTGCACGTTGCAATCAACAAATATTTATATATTAAAATCATGCATATTCAGTCTACACGATGCATATTCATTATCATCCTCTCATTGATTGGTTCTTCTTTTCTTGCTTCTGATGCAAATCAGCGTGCGCAGCCTCTGTCGTGGTCTTGTATTGTTCCCTTGTGAGCAGGGGGTGTAATTTGGGTGAGGGGTCCGTGAGTCGGAGGTCTCGACCACTCCCCAAATTTGACCATGTGTGGTCAGGGAGCGTGTCCTTGGCTCGTAGGCTCTTGGCTCCTACCTGCTCTGGTCACGATTCAGAGGTTGTACACAGCGGGTACCATCATAAGAGAGGAGCGTGAGGCTGACCCCTACTCGGGTCCCTGGCAGGCGGCTGGGCTGCAGGCGCACAAGGATTCTCCAAACGACGGCGAATACCCCCGCACCCGTTTCTCGGAGCGGTACGGGACGGCACGCAGCGGGGCGTGACGTGCTGGGTCCCCCCCCAGCTGGCCCGGGGTGGAAGCGTGGCGGGCACCCAGAACACATTCCATGGGGCTGTTGGGCCAGGTTGCCCAACTGAAATGCTGGCCTACAGGATTTACCGTCTGTCTGCAGAAAACAAATCACTGCTGCCCCAGGGCTCTACTGGAAGCACCACTTTGGAAGCTCTGAGCGTACGAGGACAAGTACATTGGAAATACATGAATAGCAGCGTGCAGGAGAAGATGGGTGTGGCATTATTTTACAAATTCTAGTTAAGGTTTAAGTTCTTTCACAGCAAATGATTTTGAAATTTGTTTCTATTTCACTTTGTGTAAAGTTTTTTGTCATTTATTTCTTCATACCAAGAGAAAACGTTGTTGCCAGGCTAATCAGTGTACTTCTGCCTCCCCCTCACTTACTAGGGAGACTTGGGAGCCATCAGTGACAAGTATGATGTTGCTATTTCAACGTGTTGTGGCAGCTTAGACCACATTGTGGTGGATACAATTGATACTGCACAGGAATGTGTGAATTTCCTAAAGGCGACAGGAGTTGGAGTTGCCACGTTTATAGCCCTGGACAAAGTAAGTACGAGCACAGAACGAATTGTTCGTTTACCCTGACGTGCACAGTGTTAATACTGAATATGTATAATGCATTAATACACGTGTGTGTAAATATCACAGCACCACAGAGTGGTTTGGGTTGGAAGGGAACTTAAAGCTCACCCAGTTCCAACCCCCTGCCCTGGGCAGGGACACCTCCCACCAGACCAGGTCGCTCCCAGCCCCATCCAGCCTGGCCTGGAGCCCTGCCAGGGAGGGGGCAGCCACAGCCCCTCTGAATATGTATTAAATATATTAATATATTATGCTGTATATCTATTCATGCAAGCAAAGCTAAAATAGAAAACATTTTAGTAGGCTGTTAGTCTGTAGAATAGTCTGCTAGCAAGTAATGACATTTACTTGCAGAGAATTACAAGGCTTTTTAGATACCTGTGAGTGTACCACGGGTGTTTGGCGTGTCTTTTATATTTTTATATTTAGATTTTTAACAAACTAGCAAACACAATAATCCAAGTAATCTTGTAACTGTAAACTATGAAAGAGAACACCGAGTTATCAGTGAGCTTTTAATTACACTGGAAGTAAGGAGAGACCCCCAAGAAAGGAAGCTTTCCTGTTAATTGCAGTACAATTGCGTTTGCTGTAAAGCCTTCACATACCTTAGACTAACAAAATGAGCTCGTAATTTATCCCAAGGAACCTCTCCTTCATTTATTTACTTTCTTGATGTAGATGGCTGTATGGGAAAAACAAATGAAAAAAATCCCAACTCCTGAAAATGCTCCTCGGCTGTTCGATCTGGTGAAAGTGGACGACGGGAAGGTCCGCCTGGCGTTCTACTTCGCGCTGCGTGACACTCTGGTGGCCAACAACCTGGAAGAAGCCACCAGAATAGCATTCCAAAAAGATAAAAGGTGGAGGGTGGTAACGCTGAAAGGAGAAATCATTGAACAGTCAGGTGATTAAGGGCAAACTTATATTTTAAGCGCTTTCTAGACAATATCTAAGCCCAATTCGCTCACTCCCTTCTCTTTTACTTCAGGAACTATGAGTGGTGGTGGGGGTAGAATAATGAAGGGCAGAATGGGCTCCTCAGTCGTAACGGATGTTTCAGAAGAAGAGGTTAGTACCTAATCTTAATTAAAAATGGAATTTCGTCCAAGTTCCTTATGTTTTGGCAGTTCACACGCACACGCGCTGTCCTGTTGAAGCCGCCCGAGTAGTTGACACCCTGTGCTGCGAGATACGTTGGCACTGATGGGGAGTTCACGAGGTCAGCACCGGTTGTGGTGCTTTCAGGTGCCTTTGCTCACGGCCCAGCTGTCCCACGCCTATTGCTTGTTGTGGTGCTACCTCAGGTAGCTCGGGAACGGGTTGAAGGTAGGGATGAGCACGTGGAAGATGCTGATCGTGAGCTGCAGAGCGGTGCGCGCAAGCCTCAGCAGCAAGAAAAGGCAGGTTGGGTCCTTCACTTTGTGTCCCTGTAAGTTTTGTCAGGGAGCGGCAGAGCTTTCCTTCCGATTTGTATTTCAAGAACGGTTTGGAATATCAAGATAGAGCTTGGTTTTTCTTCTGAATTCTTTTAGGTCTTCATCTGTAGTTTTATTTAGTGCGGATGTAGCCTGTGTCCTTTTTGCTTAATATCTGCTGATCAGCTTAACTGAGATCAAGCATCAAGGTGTTAAATCCTCTTCAAGAAGACAAGCTCCCCTCTGCAACTGTCGGGTAAACCGTGGCTCCTGACATCAGCCCTCTCCCTGCAGGAGAAGGATCTTTCGCGCTTTAGGACTGAGCTGTAAGCCAGCACAGGGGTTGGGCGTTTGCTGACGGCTAAGGACACAGAAACGATAGCTTCTATTTTTTAGGTGAAAATACTTTCAACCTGGAGAACTTCAAAATCAAACTCAACTTTAAGGTTCTCTCTCTCTGATTGACACGAGGCAAATGATCACCTCTCATTTTTGTGCAGGTCAATAAACTGGAATCTCAGCTGCAGAAGGATTCTCGAAGAGCAGTACAGTATGAAGAAGAGAAGTTACAACTCGAGGAAGCCATAAGAAAACTGGACCAAGATGTGCGGGAAATGAGAAATACTTTGGAAAAGTACACAGCCAGTATCCAGGTGAGCAAGTTTATTGTTATGGAGGCAGCAGTATCTGGCTTCGCCCCGCCTGCGCAGGGGGATAACTGCTCAGCCTGGGCTTAACGCAGCGCTTGTTTAGGGTCAAGGGTCCTTTGAAAGTGCAGGGTTCTAACACCGTTGTGTTTTCTGTAGAATTTAGCTGAACAAGAAATTCATCTACAGACCCAAGTGAAGGAATTTGAAGCTAATGTAATTGCTGCTGCTCCAGACAAAAACAAACAGAAGGAATTGGAAAAAATCATCAATACTTACAAAAAAGGTAAATTTTGTGGAGAGGGGGTTATAGATAAAAACTGTAGTCGTGTCCTTGTACTAACACAGGAAGGAACCGTTACGGCTTTGTGCTTTCAGATGGCCAGTGTGGTGCCATATCTTGGTTTGGAATGTCTTTCCTTCTGAGGGGGGATAAAAGGTGCTGCTAGAGCTTAGGGCGTGAGCCCCCTTCTTTTTGCAATTGCTCAAGTTCGTGATGCAGCGACAGCAAACATTCATTTTAGTTTGGTTTTTGTTTCATTTGGTTCGATTTGAATGGCTGTATCACGTACAGATCCATAGGGAAACTTAATCAGGTGTGAGGGTTGTTGCTGTGGAGGTGGTGATACTGAAGTCAAGGAGAGGCTGTTGCTGCGCTCTGACTGGGAGATCCCAGGGCTCTGCAAAACAAACCCCCCGCGTTCTGTCGTGGGCACGCTGTACCCCCCATCTTTTGGTGAAAGAGAACTCGAGTAACAGTTGCTGTGAAGAAACTGGTAGCTCAGCAAGGCAAACCTTGAGTGCTGCTCTGTATTTCTCGCTCAGGGAATACTACGAGCCCAGTAGAACATCATTCCCTTCCTCCGCAGCTCCGCTTTCACAGCGTTTTAGGGAAGAGCATACGTGCCGCTCTGGGTTCCCTCTGTGCCTCTTGGGAACAGCGTGGCAGCTCGAGAGTGTGAACGCTTTGCTCCCTCCGTCACACCGCGGCTTGGTGTTACAAATATCTCCTCCAGCATTTCTGCCGACACGGAGAGACGCACGCTGGTGCTCTCCCCCGGAGAAGACCACCGCCTTCCACCTCTCGAGTCTCTGCTTTACCCCTTCTGGCCCCAAAAGGAAAACATAAATCTGTAGCAACCTTAGCGTGGGCTTTGGTCGGTTTGTTTTGCCCTTGGAATACTACGGTGCTAGGCTGTTCAGGTTTGGAAAGCTGTTTAACTGACTAAGATGGTTGTGTTGAGTTTCAGGCATCAGCTAAACCTGCCTCGAAGGTGACTCGGTTTTGTTCCTTGACAGATTATGACTGCGCCGCTGAGAAAGCCGGTAAAATCGAAAGCGAAGTGAAACGGTTACACAACCTCATCGTCGAGATCAATAACCGTAAACTGAAAGCCCAACAAGACAAACTCGACAAGATCAACAAGGAGATAGACGAGTGCTCTTCAGCCATCACCAAAGCCCACGTGGCAGCCAAGAGCGCGGACAGGTACGGTCGAGCTCCCCGAGCTGGGCCCGTCGTTGCGCCGTGCTACGCCAGCAGCCGGGGGGACCTGCCCGGCCCGAGGAGATGGGATTCACCTCTTTATGGCTGGAGCAAAACCGGAGGCAGAAGGTCGTAACCTTTATCCCTAAACTGCTTTACCTCAGACTGAGTCTGGTTCTTAATTAGGACCCGTAATCCTGTCAGTGTGCTTGACAGGCGAAGGATCCAGCTGGAAAGCTTAGCAGAACCTGAGCGAGCAGAGTCCTGGCAGCCTCCGTTGGCGTCGGTGCCTGCAGGACCTCTGCTTGTTTCAAGCAGCCTCCATAGCCAAAAATCCCTTGATCTTAAAACTCTTCACTCTCAGTTGCACGTCGAGTACTAAACGTTGCTTGGGTTTGGTTTCTAACAAGGAGTTTAAAAGTCACGTCTGATTTTTCTGCTAAAGTTTGCTTGTCGCTGAAAGGCAGTGTTTCAGGATAAAGATACAAACCAGCACTTAATTGCCACGCAGTGGAGCCGTTCAAACCTGAAGGGGCTAATTTTATTATGAGGCCAATCAGGAAATGTGATCTATTTTTGACGTTTGCTTAACAGTACAGAATGAATACTCAGCCCCAGTGTCAAAACTGCCTCTGAAAGAACAAATCAAGCCGTTTAATGAGGCCTGTCTGCTCTATGTTTGAGGAAGACAACTTTGTTTTACTTGGATATCTCAGGAATGTGAGAGTTGGTGCATAAATGAGCACCTCCTATTCGGCCGTCGATAGCTACGGAACAGCCGTCACCGTAAGCCCGTGTTTCTGGATGGTCTGATGTCGTGTTTGCATGAACACCTCTGTGCCCTTTCAGAAACCTGAAAAAAAATGAAGAGTCTGTTCTTCGCACGGAGAAGGAAATTGAAGAGAATAAGAAAGAAATTAAAGACTTAATGGAAGAGCTGACTACGCTGGAAGACGAAGCTACGAAGGTGGTAAACGAATGCAAGCAAGCTGAGGTCAGTGGCGCGTTAGCTGAGTTTGTTTCTGTGCAGAGGATGCAGGCTGTGAAATGAATTTCAGGCAATAGTTGTGCCAGAGCTGTTCTAACGGCTGGTGTCCGCTAACCTTCCCCCTTAGGCGTTCCAGGCAGGCCTGGCAAGGGGTTGCATTCGCTGACAGTACCTTCATTTCTATCTGGTTTTAGTTTTTTTACAAAAAAAAAAAGCCTCAGACTTGACAATGCTGGTCTAAAGTATCTTTTTCTCTCAGTTACTCGACTACTCATCCTCCAAAAATTCACCCGGGGATAAAATGGCAAAGAAAGTTCTTTGCTGTCTCCCGCAATGCATGGTGTGAATCCATACAAAATTAATAATTTTGTTTAATTGTTAGAGTTGACCTTTAAATACAGATGCTGGGGAGGGGAAAGTTAGGCTGATCCGGTCCTAGTAAAGCAGCCTGGTCTCCAGGTAAAATCAGGATGGTGGTTATATCCCAGTATATCCTTCTTATGCCAGTTCTGTTGTGAAGCTGCAGTGACGTTCCAGGATGGTCAGGGAACGGTGTGGGGTTTTTTTATATTGACCTGGAAATCTATCTTGACCCAATTTTCTGAAGCTAAGAGAAAACTTAAACCAAGTTTCCCCAAAGAAGTTTAAAACTTGCTTAAAACCAGCTTTTTTTCCGGTTATGTGGGACTTCAGTCCCCCATCTAGATTTATGTACGAGGGAGAGTGAAAACAACCAGGACAGCTCAAGCTCTTCCAAATAAAGCTGTTTCTTTGAGGCTGTCTTTCTCAAAAACTGCCTTTTCGCTAAAAACAGCTGAATGTGGGACTCGTTCAATCCAGATCTGGATCGAAAATATAAACAGCCGCATATTTCCAGTCACTGCCGAATTCGGGGACCTGGTGAATCTAAATAATACAAGAATTTGTCCTTGTTTACAGAGGGGTGCAGGGAAACAAATCTGTAAGGTGAGGAAGTGGTAACGGTTTTGTAGGCAACGGGTGAGCTGACTCGTTTTGCCCTTTCTGTGCAGGAGACGTTGCCAGCCCTTCAGGAGGAGCGCTCCGGTTTGCTCCAGGAGATTGCAGCTATTAAAGATGATGAACACGCACTTCAAAAGGAAGCTCTTAATATTAAGCTGAAAATTGAGCAAATTAATAGTCACATTTCTGCACACCAGGCAAAGATCAAATACTGGCAAAAAGAGGTAGGGAAATTGTTTAGTTCCTAAAACTTACCTGAAGACCTCAGAAGATTTAATATGTTAACATGTAGTTAGAAAACATGTAATTTGGGGGAAAAAAATCATATTCAGCTCATGGTTCGCTGGTGTTTATGCTATACAAAACAGCTCTGAAAAATAGGAGCTTTCAGTCTTTTAGTTCCTGGTTTACATACAAGGTTATGGATGAGTTTACGTGTATAGGAACCTGAATGTATATGAATAATAGGATAAAATGGTATCTGTTGTCTTTTTCGCATCTTATTTTTAAAGGGGGTGATGTGAGGAACCCCTGAATGTTTTGAGGTTGGAAGCTTCAGTATGTACCAACACAGAAAATGTATTATTTTAGAAACATGTTCATGTGATAACTGATGTCATCCTTAAAGATTTCTAGTAACCGGTTTTGAGTTGCAGATATCAAGATTATCACTGCACCCCATAGAGGATCAACCCCCTGAAAAGCTGCCGGTATTCAGCGAAGAGGAGCTTGAGGCTATCAAGGATCCCGATGCTCTCACGAATCAAATCGCTCTGCTGGAAGCCCAGTGCCACGAGAGGAAGCCCAACCTCAGCGCTATTGCAGACTATAAGCAGAAGGTGAGCTGGGCGGCCGTCGGGGAGCGGCGTCGCTGCCCGCGCTGGCCTCCCGCCAGCG